AAAACTTCAAATTCCCCAGATTCTTTATTACTGGGCATGTCGAATGCAAAATGATGCTCATTTTATCTACCCTCCGACATACATACATACATACATACATGAATATTTATGTTTATGCTTAAAAGTAAGTGCAATTTGTAAGCACATCAACAAAATTCTTTACACTCGTTGCTTTCATCTTTTTGGATTAAAACGATAGGTATTTGGAAAATCATGACGGAGCAATGAAAGGCACAGAAATTAAATTTTAAATCGAGTTCCTTGTTCTTTAAACTCGATCCAAAATGGCGAACATGGTTTAAAAAAATCGCAAAGTTGCAAAAAACGGTTTTTCTAAAATAATTTAAAAATATAGCACCGATCGAACAATTTTAAATGAGAAAGTGGTAGGTTTTAAACTGATCTATCGACTGATTTTGACGAATGTAGACGATTTTATTAATTTTAAGGATCAAAATATGACTGAAAAAGACACTTTTTTTGGGTGTTTTTTTTTCAAATAACTATTTCAATTTTTATTTTATGAAAATGACTTTTAAAGAAAGAAACTGCTGACATTTTAAATGTTTAAATGTTTTTCTACGACCTTCTGGAGCCGATATTTTTTTTATTTAAAAAAAATTTTGAAGACGCAATTAACATTTTTTTACATTTATATTGAATGTATATTTAAAAAAAAATTGTAGGATATGTTTACTTGATTTTTAGTATCTATTAGTAATTAAGTAATAAAGTGAAGCGTGCAAGCGCTCGCTCTGAAAACTGATGACGTGCAGTCTAAATGTCTCGCGCTTTCAAAATCTTTGATATCTCGGTTTCTGGACCACGTACAAAAATTCTTTTGTACTTAATCTGGGGTAGCTAAACACGAATATTATAGTCATTTTCGCATTAGAAGCAAAATAGTTCCGTAAATGTTTACTTTTTATTTAACCTACATTTTTTTTACTTTTATTATACTTCTTCACGAAAATATGGAAGACGAACAAGAAAATTAATCAAAAGACAATCCGACAAAGAATAGAAGAATTTCATTCGATAAATAATTTTAGTTTTCATTGTAATAATGTTATAGATATTTTATACATAGTTGTACAATTATTAAATATTNCAGGTAATAATTTCTGTAAGCATTTCTCTATAATGCTTGGACTAAATACTTATAGCCTAAGAGCTGGCGTGATTTTTTCCCATCATTTGTACCAAAGGATAAGCACATTAATGTTGAAATTGGTTTAAAGTTGAAGAAATATCGCTACGTTTGGCCGGAGGCGGCTACTCAAACTTGTTTTTTTTTCAAATAACTATTTCAATTTTTATTTTATGAAAATGACTTTTAAAGAAAGAAACTGCTGACATTTTAAATGTTTAAATGTTTTTCTACGACCTTCTGGAGCCGATATTTTTTTTATTTAAAAAAAATTTTGAAGACGCAATTAACATTTTTTTACATTTATATTGAATGTATATTTAAAAAAAAATTGTAGGATATGTTTACTTGATTTTTAGTATCTATTAGTAATTAAGTAATAAAGTGAAGCGTGCAAGCGCTCGCTCTGAAAACTGATGACGTGCAGTCTAAATGTCTCGCGCTTTCAAAATCTTTGATATCTCGGTTTCTGGACCACGTACAAAAATTCTTTTGTACTTAATCTGGGGTAGCTAAACACGAATATTATAGTCATTTTCGCATTAGAAGCAAAATAGTTCCGTAAATGTTTACTTTTTATTTAACCTACATTTTTTTTACTTTTATTATACTTCTTCACGAAAATATGGAAGACGAACAAGAAAATTAATCAAAAGACAATCCGACAAAGAATAGAAGAATTTCATTCGATAAATAATTTTAGTTTTCATTGTAATAATGTTATAGATATTTTATACATAGTTGTACAATAATTAAATATTTTCGTAAATAAATTAAATTATTTAAACTTATTTTACACCAAAATTAATTAATTAATGAAATGATGAAGTAATTGTTAAAAAGGCAGCAACAATTATTAAAATGACGATATATGCAAAAAATATAAGTTAAATAGAAACTAAACATTTACGGGACTATTTTGCTTCTAAGGCGAAAATGACTGTAATATTCGTGTTTAGCTACCCCAGATTAAGTACAAAAGAATTTTTGTACGTGGTCCAGAAGCCGGGATATCAAAGATTTTGAAAGCGCGAGACATTTAGACTGCAAGTCATCAGTTTTCAGAGCGAGCGCACGGCGCTTCCCCCTACTTCTCCGGCCGGTCCAGCTGACGCACTCAGCGCTTGCACGCTTCAGTTTATTACTCAATTACTAATACTAAAAATCAAGTAAACATATTCTACTAATTTTTTTTTGAAAATATAAGTATTCAATATTAACCTCCATCAAGCGCATCGCTGTAAAATGTTAATTGCGTCTTCAAAATTTTTTCTAAATAAAAAAATTATCTCGGCTTGAGGTCGTAGAAAAAAATTTTTTTTTTATTCCTGAAATATGTCAGCAGTCTTTATGTGTCTTTAAAAGCCATTTTTATAAAATAAAAATTGAAATAGTTATTTGAAAAAACACCCAAAAAAGTCCAACTTTTTAGTCATATTTTGATCCTTAAAATTAATAAAATCATTTTTTAACAGCATGATAATATAACTCTTTACGAAGAAAATAAACCAAACATCGTCACTGTAGGGCTATCCGCTGAGAAGATCTAGCCAATTTTCGAGAACGCCTTTTTTTCAAAAAATCGATATATCGAAAAATAATTAATATTTTAAAATTTTTCAAATATGTACTTTTTTGGCTTGCCGCGGGCTATGCTTGCAGTAAATAGTAAGAGAACGTAAATGTAAACGAGTTATAGAAGAGAAAAGAGAAGATTTTTAACGGTTTTTTCGATATATCTCGAAAAGTAACAGAGCAATCGGTACTTACAAAAAATCAGTCGATAGATCTTTTTAAAACCTACAACTTTCTCTTTTAAAATTTTTCGATCGGTGCTATATTTTTTTAGTTATTTTAGAAAAACTATTTTTTGCAACTTTGCGATTTTTTTTTAACCATGTTCGTGTGGTGGTTCCCTATACCCTGACACTGGGAGCGCCGCTGTGAGAGGTTCAGTGGGGATGGGACCTAGCGAGAACCCGTCAACCTCCCTCGTGCAGCGGGAACTCGGGAAGAGGGCAAGTCAGTCCCAGTCGAATGAGGGAACGACACCTGAGCTGTTTAGTATTTGTCGCTCTGTTACTCTCATATTTTATACGTATACAGTACTACTTGTTAATATATTATTATAATCTGGTGGTGACGGTGTTATTTGTAACCCTTGATACCCAATACTCTACATTCGCCATTTTGGATCGAGTTTAAAGAACAGTAACTCGATTTAAAATTTAATTTTCTATACGGTCATTTTTTTTCCAGGTAATAATTTCTGTAAGCATTTCTCTATAATGCTTGGACTAAATACTTATAGCCTAAGAGCTGGCGTGATTTTTTCCCATCATTTGTACCAAAGGATAAGCACATTAATGTTGAAATTGGTTTAAAGTTGAAGAAATATCGCTACGTTTGGCCGGAGGCGGCTACTCAAACTTGTTTTTTTTTCAAAAACTCCTTGATTTGTACCACCTGCAGACTATGAAATTCGGCTTTAGGAATACAATTTAACCACAAAAGTGAAATGACAGACAAAAAAGTCGGTAGCGTTTCTTAATTACAGCCAATAAAAGGGTTCCGTCGTAAACATCGTAGCGGTCTATGAGTGCAAGCGAGATGGGTTCAGGCCAGGGTTGCCAGGTCTACTGATTTTTCAGTAGATCTACTGATTTGGACTTTGATCTACTGATCTACTGAAATATTTGATCGATCTACTGAAAACTGTAATGACAAAACCATACATCGATAAAGTATGTTAAAAAAAATCTTCCTGAGTTGTAGAAGAAAAATCAACTTTATTATTATACGACTAAACTTACCTTGCATAAATTTCCGAACGCGTTGTTTAAAGACACAGCTCTGTAAATTTCGAACGCGCCCTTAGCGATGGTCGAATCTTTTATGGTTAGATCCTAGATAAATGTTAGATGTCATAAAGGGTTTTTTGGCGAGAAAACCGCTAACCCGGTTAACTATAGTTTGCTGCGGTTTAACGTTTCGGCGAGAAATATAGTTAACCCGGTTTGGCAGAGTTTGCCAAACCATCAAACCGGACTTGTGCGTTGGTTTGGATCTTAAGTTAATATTTCTATCTTTGTTTATTTATTTTCTGTTTCATATCTAGTCACTACTTCGTTTTTTTTTAGAGGTTTTGTTAGGTATAAGTTGTAAATAAAAAAATTTGGTAATGGATTCACTTTGCAAAAAATACAAAGTAATATTGAAAATTGATAATAAAAAAATAGTAATCGAGGATCCAAATAACTCTAATCGTTTATAAGATGGTATATGCATTTTCTATATTGTACTGTATCCTTTTAGACGATACATTTACGTTGGAATGGATAATATTTGTGAACAAAGTAAACCCATTTTGATCTTGGATACTAAGTTAAATATGAGGTAGGTACAACTTTATTTATTAATTAATAATATTTATGTGATAACTAATTTCTTTTTAGTTCGAGTGCAAGTGCCGAGACCTCCGACGAATATTATTCTGAAAATGAGGTTAACTTGAATCGAAAAAAAATGAAGTATGATCAAAAATTTAAAAAAAGCTGGATCGAAGAGGAGCAATTTCAAAACTGGGTCAGCCAAGGAAAAAACGGATACTTTGCTATGTGCCGTGTTTGTAATAAAAATATTTCCATTAAAGCTACTGGACGATTAGCATTAGTTTGTCATCAGGATAGTGCCACACACTAAGCAATGCAAATCTATTAAACTAAAAAGTCAGAGTACTTTAACAGATATGGCGGTTTTTAAAGGGGTATCTAATCATCAAACAGCATTAAAAACTGTGGATTTACATCTTGCAGCTTTTATTACTGAACACAATTTGTCATATAATTTAATGGAACATTTACCTGAGCTATTAACCAAAGTCTGTCCTGACTCTGATATAGCAAAAAAAATTAAGTGCAGTCGTACTAAATGCTCTTGTATTGTTAAGAATGTAATTGGGAAGAAAAATGAAAAGGAAATTTGTGAAATTTTAAGCAACACCAAATTTTCATTAATAATTGATGAATCCACGGATCGTTCATGCACAAAGCATTTGTGTCTTGTTTGTAGATACCGCCATAATAAGACGTAAGTTCATATGATAATATATATTTGTTAACTAAATTTAGTTTCTTCTATTAATTTCATTATTTTTACTTTTAAGCTCGTATAATAAATTTTACAGAATTCAAGACAGTTTCCTCGCCTTGCTGCCACTTAAAGATGCCAAAGCTGAAGATTTGTATAGAGAAGTTACAAACTTCTTTGATAGGAAGAAAATTCCCTACCAGCGGAATTTAATAGGATTCGCATCTGATGGTGCCAGCGTTATGGTTGGCCGACACAATTCAGTTGTGTCAAGGTTAAAAGTAGATATACCAAATGTTTATGTAGTAAAATGTATATGTCACAGCTTTCATCTGTGTGCATCAAATGCATGTTTAAAATTACCTAGAAGCATTGAAGATTTAGCACGTGAGATATACCCTTATTTCTCTAACAGCCCAAAAAGAGTGGAAACGTTTAAAGAATTTCAAAGTTTTAGTAATGTAAACATTCATAAAATTTTACATCCAGCTCAAACAAGATGGCTCTCCCTTGAAACCGTAGTTTCTAGAATCCTAGAGCAATATAATGCATTAATATTATTTTTCACGGATGCTACTGTAAATGACCATACCTTAGCACCACAGAATATTTTGACAAAGTTAAATGATCGGTTTACAAAGTTATATTTTCAGTTCTTAGAATTTTCTTTAGCTTTTTTCAATAATCTGAACAGACAGATGCAATGTGAAAAACCAGTGATTCAAGAATTACACAAATCTGTCAGTGTTGTGTAAAAATCTTTTTTAGAATGTTTTATAAAAAGAGATGTACTAATAAAAACGCCACTTCATCAAGTAAATTATAAAGATCCAAATAATTTTATGCCATTAGAGGAAATATATTTAGGGGCAAAAGTCCTAGTGTTACTCGATTCATTAAATGACACCGATAAATCTATTTTTAGAAAAAGATGCCTAGATTTTTACATAGAGGCCGCGAAACAAATTAACCAAAGGTTTGATTTTAACGACCCAGTTTTGATGAATATAAATTTAATAAGTGTAAAAAATATTTTGGATAAGAGAGGTAACAGTATCATCCCACTTGCAAAATATTTTCCAAATTTGATTGCGGAAAATGAATTGCAATTGTTAGATAATGAATGGCGATTACTTAGAAATACAGAAATAGAGTCCAATTATAACGTAGAGATAGAGAAGTTTTGGGAAAACATTGAAAATATATGCTACGGTGACGAAACCCCTATGTTTCCCATTCTAAACAGATTTGTTTTTAATTTGTTAATTTTACCACATTCATCGGCGAATGTAGAAAGGATTTTCTCAGCTATAAATTTAATGAAAACTGATGAAAGAAATAAACTTTCATCAGCTAGTATTGTGGGGCATCTACATACAAAAAACTTTCTTAAGACTAGAAAAGCATGTTGTTATAATGTTAGTTTTTCAAGAGATGTAATACATTTACACAATAATAATATGTATAAAAAAGAACTTGATTATGATGTAACAGATTCTGAATAAATTTGTTGTTTTATGTACATATAACATATTCCTATGGAAATTTGTTACTTATTAAATCGTTATTTTTTTTTGGTACACCTTTATTTTGTTAAGTAGTTTTAAATGTAGAATGTTTTTATTAAAAAAAATGTTATTTATTTTATTTGTATCTGTTTTGTTTGTTTTCTTTACGTCTAAGATATACATTTCGTTTCAGCAATATACTTTTATTTAGCCAAAATTCCCAAGTTATCCAATTATTTTTTTACAATTTGCATGGGATTGTAGCATTTCAATTTAAATTTTAAATCTCGCGCCGAAGTTGGGTTAGGGTCAGATAGAGATGAGTTTCCGTTGTGAAGTCAAGGTTTCTAAAATAGTGTTCTGTGGTTTCTAAAATTTATTTTGTCAAGTTTATGAATTAAAAGTTATTTCTTTCATTTATCTACCGATTACGAAAATATAGTTTAATAATAACCGATAGAGATGTCTTTTCTCCATCCTACTATAATATAAAATAAGTCTACTGATTTCTACTGAATTTTTTAATACATTTCTACTGAAGGAAGAAAAATTGAGCTGGCAACCCTGATTCAGGCTTGCAAACGCGCAAGGGACGGAGAATCATATATTATTCCTACATTGCACGCATGTTTAGTGGCTCTGTAAATAGATTTGTAAGAAAATAAATATAAGCAAACATATATTTTATTGAAACTTAACATTCAGTAATAGGAAAACTAAACATTATACACTTTGAAATAAAAAATATGAAAATTTTACTTATACCATTACGAAAGCCATACTTCCAGCGTAAGCATGTGTATTTTTTTCTAAACATTGTTTATTTTAGCAAACCTGCATGTCGGCCTAATAAAGTTTTTTATTTTCGTGGTATTCAAAATAACGTGGCGGAAGATTAACGAGCATGCGTTGTATTGCTTAACATTTTAATTTACATTTTTGATAAAATATTAAATCAAATGTAGAGCTTCCTTATATACAGAGTGTCTCATAATTAGTGTCCAATAATTTATCACTTGATTATATAGCCAAAAATAAGAATATGTTTTCAAATAAACATGGGTCGAGAGATGCTTCCTAAGGGATCTACGCTCCCTAAAAGGGGCCTCAAAAAATTCATTTTTTTAAATATTTTCGAAACGGGTTCTAGGAAAATTATAAATTTTGACATAATTGACGCTCATTATCATCATAAAATTTTAATCGTTGGCTAAAATTTGCCTCTATTTTTTTTACTTGTCGAAATTTTTTCAAGTTCAAGTTTTCATGCCAACATATGATAGATATTCATTTCTTTTACAAAAGAGGTACTCTTTAGTTCATTGGATAAAATGCTCCATTTCCGAGAAAAACGAATTTAAGCAATTCATTAAGTTACCTTAATAATAAATTCGTCTTGAATGGTTAAAATGGGCACATGTACCATTATGAATTTTCATATGTCATCATATCAATATACATTGTAATAAACAACGTGAAAAGTGCTTAGAAAAGTTTGTTATGGGCCGTCCCGAGCAAGGGGAGGGGGAGAATCGGTTCAAATTTTGCATGCATTTGTTGCTATAAAATTTGATTGATCTGAGTTTTCTATGAAAAAAAGGTGATGTTGTTTTGATCTGAATTTGAAAATTTCAGCAAACAAAACAATAGTGGCAAATTTAAGCCGACGACCCCCCCCCCCAATTGAGATGATTAAAATTTTTGAAAAATTTTATGATAATCTATTTCGACTTTTAAGAGCGTTCATGGTATCAACATTCATAACTTTCCTTCAACCCATTTCGAAAATATAAAAAATAATAATTTTAGGCCCTATTTAGGGGGTGTAGCTCCCTTAGGAAACATCTCTCTACCCATGTTTATTTGAAAAAATATTCTTATTTTTCGCAATATAATCAAGTGGTACGTTATTGGACACTAATTTTGAGACACCCTGTATATAAGAAAACTCTACATTTGATTTAATATTTTATCAAAAATGTTAATTATAATGTTAAGCAAATTAGTATACAACGCACGCTTGTTAATCTGCCACGAAATACTGATGCCATACAATCGTTATTAATTAGGCATATAATTAAGCAGTTATAGTAAAACCAAAAATAACTGTAAAAAAATCTAACTGGTATAATCAAATAAAATATTTTTAATTAGTAAGTCATCATTTCATTTGTTCACAGCGTATTTGCCTCCAGTTCCTCCTTGACCTACATTAATAATAAGTAGGTAACTATTCTGTCATAAAAACATGCCCTTTGTTTAAACACATCTAAAAACACTTTATCAGAGGCATGCCGGCGAGTTGTACAGTACACCTGCACTTTCCGTATTCCACCGTACCACATATTGTTAGTAATATGTGACCGTACCTATTTCATCGTGACGATGCGAGAACGAATCATTTGCTTTAAAATGTGTTGTAAATTGTAAAGTATCTACATAAATCAATCACTTTTTAAACAGAGGCTAATTAATAAACATTTCATTTAAAAACTAATAAAACACAACAGAAAAATTAAATTGTAAAAAATATTTTTAGGGGAACTCATTTGGCTTGCTTCTCAAGAAAAATGTAATAATAACTTGAAGTCACTCTTCAACAAACAACAGTAATTATTACATACAAAATTCTGTATTCAGAATTATGGTTTCTAAAATTATACTGGATCTAATAACTAGTAAAACATACAAAAATCAATTTGTGAAAAATATCTTAAAGAAATCTTAGGGAGACACTGACTCCCCCGCTTCTAAAAAAAACTGCCACTGTGTAGGAAATTTTAATTATCTTATCACGCTCCATTTTAGTTTAGACAGTCTGACTGATACCGAATGGCATTTGCCTAATTCTTTCTTCTCTAGTAATTATATTATCGATTATATTATCTGGACTATTATCAAAATATGTGTATTAAGTACTATAATTTATTTGTGTTTATAGCTCTTTTACTATTAGACTAATTATTAATTGTCAGAATTAAAATTTTTTAACTTACTAGTATTTAACAGTATTCGTAAGAACTCGGAATAACAGTTTTATTATTACGATTATTTTACATGCAAAGCTTAATATTCCCATTAAACAAGCACTGCCATCACATTCTTTTATATTATCTAAAATCAGCGCAAATACAACTCAAACATATTGAAGTTAGTCCGGCTCTGGTTCGGCAAAAAATACCTTAGAACGACAACTGTGACTATCGCCCTCTTTTCGATAGTGTCTAAACTATAGAAAAGTTGAAATACGAAGGATTTCTTCAATTGCTCGGCATGAAAAGATGACGGATAATATAAAATATCAGAACACGTACCTTTCCTGTTTTGTCCAATTGATTTATAAAACTACTCAATAATTCTTATTAATTCATGTATAAATAGTATCCTAAAAGCATTCTGCTGGGTGTGGGTATGTTTATAATACCGTACGCTTTTATCTGTATGTTCAACAGTCGTGTAAAGTTCAGGAAACGTAAGATAAAAAAATATGTTTTTTTTTTCTTACTTAAAATGTGTTGTCAGTTATCTCACACCCTGAAGAACACTTGTATGAGTAGTACAGTGAAGAGATATCGTTTCCAACTTGCTTAAAATTTTTAAACAATTGGACAAAAAAATTCATTGAAAATTGTGCATAAAAACGCCCCCCTTAAATCTCTCTTAAAGCGAGTGGTACATCATCTAGAAGCTCGTTTAAATTATGTTGAAGAAAGTTTAAATAATGAGGTCCAGTTAGAATGAGTGAAAAGGTCCTACGAAAAAAACAGAAATTAAACCACACCAAATTATTCACCTTAAACTCATGCTGAAAATGTCTTTCTTTTACAGCATGCGGATTTTCGGAATCCCACAAATGATTGTTCTTCCAATTGAAAACTCCCCGTCTAGTAATCGTCGCCTCATCGGTAAATAAAATGTTATTGAGGAAATCTGGGTTTTCCATTTGCATATTTTGTACAAACTGAGTAAATTTTAAACAAGCTGGTAAATCTTGAAACAATAACTGCTGAACCGGAGTATAATGATATGGATGGAGCATTTCTTTTTTCAAAATTCTACAAATGGACGACTGGCCTACCCCCGTTGCCGCACTTAACCGACGAGTACTCATATCGGAATTTTACGAAACATCTTCCTCTTCTTCATCGACTGTGATAGATTTTGGACTACCATGGTTACTTTTTGGTCGAAAAGATCAGTTTTGTCTAAGCGTTTGTAAAGATTTCTGGATAGATTAGGTTGCAATCTATTTGGGTACATGTGTTCATATCTTCGGGCTACCGCATGTCCATTAAAATTAGCCTGGGCAAAAACACAAATCATATCACGCATCTCACTGTTTAAAATTATTATGTCATGGCTTTTTTTGATCACTAGCTAATAATTTTGCATGAATAATAAATCACACGCACGCAAAATACGCTAATATTTATTGACACGAAAATTGACACAAGCCTACTTAGAAAAGAAATAGCAATATAACGCCTGAAAGAAAATCACCACAAAATGCATTGAAACTTTTAAATGCAAATAATTCAGAAACCAATAAAGTTAGGCGACCTAAACAAGAGTACATTTTTTATGTAGAATTGAACGTTCTTTTAGATTTTTTTTAAGCATAGCTCAACAGATAAAAAAAATATGTTTTGATTTACCTAAATAATACGGTGAAACAAGTGCCCTCTAAGAGCAACGTGAAAATAAGCTCCAAATCTGTAATTCTCATACAAAAAAACCCAACACTACCAAATTTCAGAGTCATGGTTGGTTTATAAAAAAGAATTAGTCCTAACTTAGTCTTAGCCTTAGTATTAACCTTTACACTAATCTTAGTATTAGTCCTAAGAATAGGTACACGTTTATAAAAACAATGTGTGGTCCTAATTTTATTAAGATTAACCAATGAGCGATTCGACTACGAGCATGGCTAGTAATATCACAGTATAATATTTGATTAATATTCTGTGGTAATGTTATTTTATTTGTTTTGTTGATGAGTGAAAAGAAAAATATAACCTATTACTATGGTAATGGCGTAATGGCGACCACCATAGACAAAGACAGGAGACCACTATGCTAGTGCTACGAAATGCAATACTTGTGCATGCGCACTTCTCAGATCTTAGTCTTAATCCTAGAAAAATTAAAAGATGCGAACTTTCAAGGTCATGTCTTAAGACCTCCTTACGACTAGGGATTTTTATAAACCGGTACATTACATTCTGTACATTTAACTTTTTAGGACTAAGATTAAGGTTAAGTTACGGCTAAGTTAGGACTAATACTTTTTTATAAACCAACCATCATGCTATCAAAACTGTCTCACTTATTTTTTATTTAATAATTTATACTTTCAAAAAATTTTTGGCGGTCCAGTATTTTACCTTCCACGGTCCGGACCTGAACCGCGGTCCGCCAGTTTGTTGCCCACCATTGGCCTAGCCCGATAGCTAAATGGTTCAATCTTATTTAAGGTAATATGCATTTTAAAATCTGTACTTGATTTTTCAGGTCTTATAGCGTGTAAATAATAGTTCTTAATTATCTCTTTTGTTTCAGATACCACTAAAGCCGGTAATTTAGGATTTATGTTCAAATCGATGGATGAATCTTCAATACTTTCGACCAGCAGTACCTCATTTGTCACAAAATCTAAATGAACTGATCGAGGAATAATTTGTACAGAATTGGTTTCAAAAACAACCTTCTGTATGTTTGAATGGGATATGAAATCTCTATCTAATAAACCCTGAAATGACATAGTTTCCGCATCGACAATATAAAATTTAATATTATAAAGTATTGTTATTAACTCTAACGTTATCATAAAATAAACACTATCAACATTGAAATAGGGCTACCTGAGTCAATTATGCAATCTACATCTAGATTTAAACTCATTAAAAACACACCAACCTTATACATGGAAGGACTTATTAACATTGTAGTTGACTTATGAAAATTCTTTTCCTTCTTGGCTTCCATACAATCCTTGCTTAAAAAGTTAGTATCTCTGTCTTCTACTAAAGTGATGGTATTCGGTGAAGTAGCTGCCTCCTGTTTGGTTTTGGTCCTAGGGCACATTCTCTTCTGATGTTCAGTGGAACCACAAATTTAGCAGGAACCCTTCACTCCTAGATGCTTCGGATAGTTGTTCCAAAGGGACCGGTTTCATTGCAATTGTAACATTTTGGGTGAGATGTTCCTATCTCTTATACTTCATTCTTTATTTCTGGTTTTTGGTTTCTGACATAAGTAGCATTCTGTGGTCTTCGATTTGTTTCTGACTTTCCTTTCCCGTTTCTTGCACCATGAACTTTTACAGTTTACTATATCCTTGAATAAATCGTCTTCGTCTGCATAATATTTTGCTAGTATAAAATCTGAAAGCTTTTCTGACAATAACCCTATTGCTACTTGTTCCTTAATCTCAGCAAATTGCGGGTTACACACTTTACATAATGATACTTTGTCATGGAAGTATGTACTAATATTTTGATTAACTCGCTGGCTGTGACCTTGCATACGGCGCCATAAGTTAGTTTTATTTTCTTCAAAAATGAATGTCTTGCGAAAGACTGTCTCAGATTCATTCCAGTTTCTAATTTCTGTGTCTCTACCCTGTAGTCAATGTTTTGTGGCACCTACTAAGTGTTTATAAGCTGTTTGTAGAATAAATGCGTCGGGCCAACTGTAGTGCTATGTTCTTCAGCTGGATTAACCAGGTTACTGCATGCTGGGGACTTAATTCACCTCTAAAATTCATTATGGATTTACTAAGGTCCGGCATCACGTTAAACGTATTAGAATTTTGACTGCCATTGGAGCTACTGTTACTTTGTTGTTGCATATCCTGATTAAGTTGCATCATATTTAGTAAATCTGAGTTTTGCTTAACCAGAATGTTGACTGTATTCACTAAAGCACTTATACTGTCTATATTTCCTTCTCCGGAATTATTTCCATGTTCATTCTCATTTCATTGATCCATAAACTGAGCATCTGCCGCCATTTTTATCAGTGTCTGTCACTGGTTTCCAACTGGTTTTTTACACTGTCTTTAATTAGTCTTTTATCCGGTCTTTTACCCCACACCTGATAACTATAGGGGATGTTTTCTCTCTCCAGATCACACCCTACTCGTAACACTAAGAATATTAATAAATGTCTACTAATTTTCTAAACTTTATTTCTGCTTAACATTGACTAAACGTAAAACGTACATCAACACTTCCGCCATTATATTTCATACTAATACTCCCAACCTCACAACCACATAAACACTAAAATGACTCCTACAATGTTATTTATCTTATTTATAATTTTTATTTTAAACTTATAATTTGAAGATTGAGATTACCCAAGATTACAGGTTTAGTTTTGTGAAAAAGTATTTGGCTTATTTTCAGTACAAAATTCAAATCTTTTAACAAGCACCCCATCGGGCCAAAACGATGGTGAATAAAATAGTTCTTGGAATTACATATCTGCTTCCACCATAAAAGAAGGAATTTTTAGCCAGAGAAGGTAATATGGTAACTTCGAACACATGACCAGGCGATCATTGTTCTGGATACGTCTTAATATTTTCTGGGCTTGAATTAGGTTTGCAGCGGCCAACATAAAGCCACAAACGTCGTGTGGAGCCTCTGAAATTTTCAGTTGTATTTGTTTTGTTTGTGCCAATTATCATGTTCTTCTTCTTTCTTGTTCTGAGTTTGGTGTATTTATTTTTATTTGTGTACTTGTGTGAATAAATTTTTTGTTTTCTCATATTTATGTTTACACTTTTTTTCTGTACAGTTTTACTTTCAATAAAGGTAGCAACAGAAGATAAAGTTTCTGTTAAACTATTCAAGCCTAAACGTTTACTTGGAATGGAAGTATGTTGTTTTCAGCATGTGTCACTTGATGCATGTAATCCTTACTAGTGAGTAGTCTAACCATTTCGATATTAAACTCTCTTAAATCTGCCTCTTGCTTTAAGGCATTTATTTCATTAACCAGAAGACTAGTCTGCTCCTGTACGCATTCTTGTATAACTGTTGTCATTCCATTCACTGTCAGCGTAATAGGTTATGAGGATTCGGTGGTATCACCTCTAAAACTTGTACCACGAGTAATTATTAATACATTAAATTAAATTCAACATAGAAATAAATTTAAAAAACCACAGAGTAGGAAATACACATCCACTCACTTACACGTATCGACGTCGAATTATTATAAAATTTCCCCCTGTTGTAATTTCCAAGGTCAAAAAAAAGGGTCCCATTTAAAATTTTCAATTTGGTCTTCAAACGACCTTGAAGTCAAGATCAAGGTCATGTCAAGATATCCCTTTTTTGCACCCTACAACTTTTAAAAAAGTGATCCCAACAAGGTACTCCGTTGTCTCAAGATTCTTGTTCTTTTTTTTTTATTTTTTATGGCCAGAATATGAGTTAAGTCAAAAAAATAATAAAATATTTTTTCTTTCGTTTTTCAATCGAAATCCGTGGTAAAAAATGAGTGTTTCCATTTAAAAAAATCAACTTCCTATCTAAAAACACCACTTCCGGTCTAGACCGGAAGTCGTAATACGGACCTTTCAATGAGGAAGTTGTATCAAATTTTATTTTGAAGCAAAATTTATTTAAAGTGCAGAAAATGACTATAAAGCATGTTTCTATAAGTAAAACCCCTTTAACTATTAATTATTATGTAAATAATTATTGAAATATTGAATATAATTATGTAGGCGAAAACGGTATCTAATTGTTCAAACAATTTGTGACATCAGGATCTGATATGTGTTAAGACTGACAAGACGGGGACGCCGGCCCTGCTGTCATTTAATCTCGTGTTGATTTAGTTTATGTTCACATCAAATTCAGAGTAGTTTTGAGTAGTTAGTTTTAGTGTATAAAGTGGTATAAATTTAAAGACAAGTTTAGTTAATTTTCATAGAGTCTACGAACATTTTCACAATATCTACCTAGGTAGCTTTAGAGCGTGACAGCTTCAGGATCAGAATTACAACACGAGAACATGAAAGACATTAACAATATCTGAACGTAAATATTGTGGTATTCGTGTGTAGTTCTACAACAATGACTGCCCCCAACAAATTATTCTTTAATGTAACAAAGGATGAGAAAATGAGAAGGAAATGGTGTTTGACTATGAGAAGAAACCTGAAGAAAAGTCCAGTTAGCGTTAAATCTATTTTACACATCTGTGAGGATCATGCAAACATTGATAGAACAAGTAGCAAATTCTCCACATGTTAATGACAAATTAAAATATTCTTCATTACTATAATTTAAAAGATCATTATGCAGTTTTATTTAAATATTCAGCAAAAACTATTCAGATGCAACAATAATTTGACAATTAACATGACAAATGTCAAGTTATTTCTATTATTTTGGAGTGTTTCTGACCAATTTGACCACAGGTCTCCGATATGAGAAAAACTGTCCAATAAATAGAAAATTGCAAATATCTCTAAAAGTAGTAACAGCAACCTTAACAATGCTTATATGGTTTGAAAGGAAATTTCAATCTACATATCGCACCCTTGCTTCAAAAGTGTCACAAGTCAAAATCCTTCATTTTTCAGAAAAGATGAAAAAGCTCTAGCGACAAAAGTAACTAAATTGTTTAAAAACATTATTGATGATTATAAAGGTTTCAGCAAAGGGGCCAAAAACCAAATAGCATTTTGGAACCATTTTAACTGCAACTAACTGAAAATCAAAATCAATGGTGGTATTATGTCAAAAATTGAATTTTTTGAGTTGTGACACTTTTGAAGCGAAGGTGCGATATGNGTAAAAATACCTATATATGAAAGTTGCACCCCTGAGACGATATACCCTCTTAAAGGAGGGGAATGAAATTCACATTTTATTTTTTTTTCTTTAACGTCGGGAATGCTAGAGACACTAAACTTGGTATGAGCATCCTACTAATAAAGTGACAACTTTTCAATATTTTTTCGATCATTGGCGTATTTTAAGAAGGAGTGAAACAGTCAACCCCATTGCAATATTTTACTAGAAATTTTTTATAAGAAGCAAATTATTTATTTAAAAATATTTATTGGGAAGACTGATGTATTGCGCAACTTTTTTACCTCTTGTAGTTTCTTGATAAAGCCTATAGTTTTCTAATAAAAAAATTTGATGCGTTATCGTTCACTAAAGAGGTAATTTCGAAAATTTGTAAAAATAATGTAGGCGGATGTCATAACAAATAAATTGTTATTTATCATATTAATAAATTGACACTTTCTGTCAATAAGTTGGTAATTTAATAACAACATTTAGAATAATTTTCTATTAATTAATGAAAAATATTTGCTAATTTATGACTATGGGACGTAATTGTATTAGGTAAAGTTATTTATCTGAAATAAAATTTAATACAAACGGAAAACAAGAAATGCAAAATCAAATTTAAAGAATATTCTCGAAATAATTTCCATTTTGCTGCAAGCATAACCTAATACGTCTGTTGAATATAACGCACACGCACAAATAGTTCTTGGTTATTGCGAAGGTCATATTGCCTGAAATATTCTTAAGCGTAGTTCTTCTAAGGAGGCAACAGGAGTGGCATAAACAGTACTTTTTATGTGTTCCCACAAAAGAAATCTAAGATACTCGGCCGCTCCAAGCCTGTGTGGAACAATAAAAGGACCTACTGGAGTATTTCCTACAATTCCCATCCAAACGTTTAAACTGAAATTATGTTGACATCTTGAAACAAATATTTCATGAGTATTTTCTTCCGACCATGAATGAACATTATGAAGGTTTACTGCACCTACTCTCGGAAATTTTGCTTCATCGGTGAAAAGTATATTCATTAGGAAAATTAAGTCATGCCTGGAAATATTGATGTACCATTGACAAAAATCCACGCAGTTAGGTAAATCAGGGTCATTCAATTCTTGCACGGGTTGATGATGAAATGGGTATAAAAGATTTTCATAAGCTACATTCCAGACAAGACTGTGAGAAACTTGCAGTTGCCTGGACACCGCTCTTGTGCTTATACCACAGTCTTGTTCTAGATGTTCCAGTATAGCTTCCTCAGTTTCAACAGTTCGGACATTTCGCCTTCTTCCGGCACCCTTCCGATTGGGCTGAATTTTACCAGTTTCGCGAAGCCTTCTTTCCATCGAGGCCAATGTTTGTCTATGAGGAATCGGCCGGTTTGGATATCTTTGGTAGTATAATCTTACTGCAGCGTTACTATTTTTTCTGGATTCGAAAAACACTTGGAGCATGTCGACATATTAGTCTGATAATAAATTAATCAATTGGTACTAATTATTGGTTGACAAAAAGTGTCAATTTATTAATATGATAAATAACAATTTATTTGTTAAGACATCTGCCTACTTTAATTTTACAAATTTTCGCAATTACCCCTTTAGTGAACGATGATGCATCTAATTTTTTTACTAGAAAACTATCGGTTTTATCGAAAAATTACAAGAGGTAAAAAAGTTGCGCAATTCTTCCTAATAAATAATTTGCTTCATATAAAAAATTCCTAATAAAATATTNACGTCATCGGCCTTCGGCCTCAAGGTCATCCCAAGCCAGAAAGTGGAGGGGGGAGACTCCCTGCCGGCTAAAATACCCTACTGACTCATTTATTGCGCAACTTTTTTACCTCTTGTAATTTTTCGATAAAACAGTTTTCTAGTGAAGAAATTAGATGCGTCATCGTTCGTAATTGCCAAAATTTGTAAAAATAAAGTAGGCGGATATCATAACAAATAAATTGTTTTTTATCATATTAATAAATTGACACTTTCTGTCAATAAGCTGGTAATTTAAAAATAACATTAAGAATAATTTGCTATTAATTAATGAAAAAATGTTTAATAACTTATGACTATGGGACAAGTATTAGGTAAAGTTATTTACCTGAAATAAAATTTAATACAAACGGAAAACAAGAAATGCAAAATCAAATTTAAAGAATATTCTCGAAATAATTTCCATTTTGCTGCAAGCATAACCTAATACGTCTGTTGAATATAACGCACACGCACAAATAGTTCTTGGTTATTGCGAAGGTCATATTGCCTGAAATATTCTTAAGCGTAGTTCTTCTAAGGAGGCAACAGGAGTGGCATAAACAGTACTTTTTATGTGTTCCCACAAAAGAAATCTAAGATACTCGGCCGCTCCAAGCCTGTGTGGAACAATAAAAGGACCTACTGGAGTATTTCCTACAATTCCCATCCAAACGTTTAAACTGAAATTATGTTGACATCTTGAAACAAATATTTCATGAGTATTTTCTTCCGACCATGAATGAACATTATGAAGGTTTACTGCACCTACTCTCGGAAAATTTGCTTCATCGGTGAAAAGTATATTCATTAGGAAATTTAAGTCATGCCTGGAAATATTAATGTACCATTGACAAAAATCCACGCGGTTAGGTAAATCAGGGTCATTCAATTCTTGCACGGGTTGATGGTGAAAAGGGTATAAAAGATTTTCATGAGCTACATTCCACACAAGACTGTGAGAAACTTGCAGTTGCCTGGACACCTGTCTTGTGCTTGTACCACAGTCTTGTTCTAGATGTTCCAGTATAGCTTCCTCAGTTTCAACAGTTCGGACATTATGCCTTCTTCCGGCACCCTCACGATTGGGCTGAATTTTACCAGTTTCGCGAAGCCTTCTTTCCACCGAGGCCAATGTTTGTCTATGAGGAATCGGTCGGTTTGGATATCTTTGGTGGTATAATCTTACTGCAGCGTTACTATTTTTTCTGGATTCGAAAAACACTTGGAGCATGTCGACATATTCGTCATTGGTATAAATATTATTTGCCATAATTATTCTGATAATAAATTAATCAATTGGTACTAATTATTGGTTGACAGAAAGTGTCAATTTATTAATATGATAAATAACAATTTATTTGTTATGACATCCGTCTACTTTATTTTTACAAATTTTCGCAATTACCCCTTTAGTGAACGATGATGCATCTAATTTTTTTACTAGAAAACTATCGGTTTTATCGAAAAATTACAAGAGGTAAAAAAGTTGCGCAATTCTTCCTAATAAATAATTTGCTTCATATAAAAAATTCCTAATAAAATATTGCAATGGTGAAACCGCTGAATCTAAGATGGAATGTGTAGTGATCGACATGATGGAGCACCACTGCACACTACACCAATGGCTCAATCAGAATTATAATAAGCGGATTGGAAGTTTTGATCTTTCAACTTGACCACCAAGATCCCCAGATTCAAATCCGTACGACAATGAGGTATAATAGGGCTCCTGGCAGATACCCTCTCAATAGAAATAACAAGGAACAGTGCTTACCAATGCACATCCTAGGCCCTTGACCAAAAGGCAAGTGAGTGAACTGGTTCATATTCTTTTTCTTCTCCTCGCTGAACCGCTCTGGATCGAACTCTTTTGGATTCTCCCAATATTCTTCGTCGTAATGAAGGCCTAGTACAGGGATGTACAAGGTAGTGCCCTTTTCTATGACCAAATCTTCTCCATCTACTTTGTAGTCACTGACACACAGTTTTTGTAGAAACCGTGCTGGTGAATGAATCCTCAATGCCTCTGAAATCATCATAATATTTGTTTATTTATTTATAAATAGCTACAAAAGAAATGAAGCAATTTTCTATCGACGTACTGGTTTAGTTATATTCGTGCATACCATTTATAACCTGTTCCAAATATTTCATGTCACTGAGTGAGTCATAGGTGAGCTTGCCCTCGTGCTTAGCCAAAACTTCATTGATTTCATCCCTGAGTTTCTCCTGGATGTCTTGATGAACGGCCAATTCGAATAAGGCGAAGGTCATGGTGGTGGAGCTGGTTTCAAAGCCTGCTATGAAGAATACGAAACTTTGTGCCACCATCTCGTCCATTGTCAGGGTATTTCCGTCGCCTAAAACTGAAAAAATACGTCATGATAAGTGAATACAAATAGGATGTAACAATATTACCATGGTGGCCATTTTCCTTCCCTTCGTTTTTATCCCTGATCTCCATAAGCAATTGCATGAAATCCTTCCTAACCACATGGTTCTTCTCGCGATACGACACTGTGTCCTTTACCACCCCCGTGAAGAATTCTGAGACATCGACGCTGATCTGGCGCATTCTCAAAGCCCGCGCCAGCCCGGGAAAATTCTCAGTGAACGTCAACCTGATTGCGTCAAGCTTACTGACGGAGAAGAATTTGTTCCCGAAACGTCTGAAGGCTTAGTTTGGTTCCTTGAAGCTGTTACAGTCAAGTCCGAATGCGCAGGAACCTATGACGTCGGTGGAAAAACATGCTGAAAACAAAAAGATTAATGTTACAATACTCGTAGTTATTTAATATAGTATTTTTCTACTGTAGGTCGTAAATTGCTAACTTTACGTATGCAAAAAGCAGTGAGACTTGAAGACTAACAACAGAAAAATCAGCAAAAGCTCATTATGTATGCAAATCGTAAATAAATGTAGTACTGGTGCTTATATTCAATATTTTTATATTATGCATTTTCGGCATAGATGAGGTCCACTTTTAACAAAACTTTGTGCGATGGGACTGACTCATTTATTGCGCAACTTTTGTAATTTCATATAAAAAATTCCTAATAAAATATTGCAATGGTGAAACCGCTGAATCTAAGATGGAATGTGTAGTGATCGACATGATGGAGCACCACTGCACACTACACCAATGGCTCAATCAGAATTATAATAAGCGGATTGGAAGTTTTGATC